AAAACTAGCATTCAAAATTGAAGGTCAGATAAAGAGCTTCACAGATAAGGAAAAGCTAAAGGAGTTCACCACCACCAAACCAGTATTATATGAAATGCTAAAAGGTATTCTTTAAGAAGAGGAAGAAGAAGGAAAAGGTGAAGATAAAAATTATGAACAACAAATACATATCAACAAGTGAATCTAAAAATCAAGTGAATAAATAATATGATGAACAGAATAAACTGGTGAATATAATAGAATCAGGGGCACAGAAAGGGCATGGACTGACAATTCTTGGGGAAAAAGGGCTTTCGGGGTGCGGGAAGAGACTGGAGAAAAATTGTATACCTATGGATGAGGACAGGGGTGGGTGGGGGGTAAGGCAGAGAGTCGGGTGGGAATCGGGTAGAGGGGAGCTATGGGGGAAAAAGAACAACTGTAATAATCTGAACAATAAAAAGTAAAAAAAAAAGTCATACAAAATGAAAAAAAAAAAAAAGATTCCCACCCCGACTTTAAATGGGTTTCATTCTTAAACAACCCCATGTCTTTCATACCATCTATGACTCAGGGAAAGACCATGCTTGTTTAATTCCCATTTTTACAGTTTTCAAAAATAAATTATACTTTACATTAGTTTTCTTCTGCTTTCTCTCTGTTTAATAGCAAGCACTTCTGAAAAATCCTGAATTTGATCCATTTTTTGTGAAATATTAGAAAGCTGTACTTATCACCCATATTTTTTTTTACAATAAATAAGTTTTAAATTTTAAATTTTACAGATAGTAAAATTAAAATACCAAGGCTGAGTAGGCAAATGAAAGTATTCATGTTTCCACTTATACTAATCATTTATGTCTTAGAAAGAAATACACTTTCTCTGTGTAGTTATTTCTTGGAAATAGATATAAACATCCAAGGGTAAATTGTACCATAATTGGTGCTGAAGTTGCAGTTGTAACCACACATTGTTAAAGTAAACTGGTTTCTCAGTGTGATGTGGACACTAAATTTATGTCTCTGTTAAGGAATTATGTTATGAAAATCAACTCCTGCACGGAATACCCCTCTGCAAATGAAACTGAGATAAATGATATAAAGTGCCTAGTATAGAGTCTAGACACAGTAATTGGTACTTAAGAAATATTAATTCCCTTTCCTCACATATGCTTATTGGTTTGTTGTTTTCTTTCTTATTTCACTTTGCTTGCCGTCATCTTTCCAAATTTATGGAATATGTATTTCAGAATATATGACTTCATTAGGACCTATTCTGTACTGGAACCGGTTGTGAAGAATGAGCCCCCATCCCTATATTCACTTGCTTACTCCTAAATATTGGAAAACAAGAGAGGCAGTAGGAGGAAAAATTATTTCCTGTTCATTTGAAGTCTGATTTTTTTCTAATACAAATGCTGATGAAATATACTGTTTTTTATGTGCAGATCCTTTGCAAGCAAAGAAAGTCAGAAAGGTGCCTCCTGGTTTGCCTTCTTCTGTAAGTACCCATGTTTTTGACTTTGTGGTAAACAAACTGATTTCAGATATTCAGTGTTTGCTGGGTATAAGGATATATTCGACTGGTGTCATTAAGCACACTTCACACAATCAGTTTGCTACTTAACGGAACCATGCATTGAGATAAATCTGCATTTAATGTTAGGTTTTTAGATTTCTCTGCAATGATTTGTAGCTTACTCATAGACTTTTACTCCATGTCCCTGTCATTTGAATTTCCCTCTTGGGAAGAGGACTAGGCCAGTAGCTGTCAAAGAAGATCTCCTGTACAGGTCTTTTGATGTTTAATTAGTCATTATGTTGCTGAACAGGAGGACAGACAGAGATTAATAGCTGAGAATCTTAGAAATTTACATTTGTAATAATCCCAGTGGAGCTAAAGACATTAAGATTCGGAGGACATGTTCGGCTCAGCTTGCCTCAGTAGGACTGAGGTTATTAATATGCATAAATCACCAAGTCAGATGTTCATTGTGAAGCCCTTGTGGATTTTAAAGCCTTCATTAAGCCTTTCCTAACTTCAGCCTAGCATCAGGAAAGCTTTCAAGCAACTAGTTTGTTGATCCCTCTTTGCTCCAAAATGTATCCTGTGAGAATTAAGAGTGTTCATGAAGGAGGTTGGAAAGATTTGGGGAACAATTATTAATGGTCATGATAATCTAATGCTGTAGGGGTGTTTATGCTATTAAATATACTTTATTCTTTTAAAGAGTAAAAGTATTTGTAAATTAACCTACATCCTAAGTCCACCTACAATTTAAAAATCCCTGGTGTGAGGAGCGAAGATATTTTTTCCTTTCCCTTTGCTTAAAGCAAATGGGGAGTGAGGCCTCAATCCAAAAGCCTGGTAGGGTACATCTCTTTGTTGTGTAAATGGATGTGGGCTTTTATTTGGCAGTACTTAACACATGGGCGCAGGTGCTGCTGCATGAGTCACCGCTCATCGAAGTATACGCAGAATGGAATATCCGGCTTGGCAAGTCGTAATCTAGAAGGAGCAGCATGGATTTGAGCTTTTCATTTTTTATTGAGGCTGAAGTAGAGATATCATCTTTTGGTTGTTTGCTTTCCTTCTTTCCTGTGTTCTTCCCCCGCCTTCTCTTCCATGTGATACATGAAAACTCAAATTTGAAATCCTCTTTGAAAATCAGTTCCAGATGGATCTGAGTTTTATGCAGTCTAGGGCAGCTGTGCTCTGAACCTGCAGCCTACCTGTAAGGTTGGGTTGCAGCTGCAGGCATTCTTAAAAGCTTTTGCTTGCGTAAGCACTTGGGCTACTAGAGGTTGAATAGCTGCTTGATAAACAAAATGAACACAATGCCTCAAATCATTATTCCGGAAGACAGAAATTTTTTTTTTCAGCAGCAGCTAAAAATAGTTGGGCAATTTACATTTTAACAGTTGTGTACTATGCAGGGATAGGTGGTTCAACCATAGAACACATGATTTCTGCTAGATTAACAGAAATCATATTTAAAACTGTCAGAATTGCTAAAATGTAACTGCAATTTTCTTGTAATTTATTGTTATAATTCTATAAGAATGGTAAAAGTTAAATTACATATCAATATTTAGTGGAACTACACATGTAAGGATAAAAACCACATTAATACATGCAGAATTCAACTATTTCCTCATAGTGTGAGATCAATTTTAAGAAACAATTTATTTTTAGTGTTTCATAGTTTTCATTTTTAAGCCAAAAGGGCAAAATGGATAGAACAGCCTGGAAGGAGAATAGACAGTGGAGGTCACTAGCATTCCCAATTACAACAGCATTCACCATATTGTCTCAGGTGTTCAGGAGGAGCCTCAGAAATGGAGAAATTCTGACAAAACCTTGATTCCTTTGAGAACCATTAGGAAATTTCAAAAGTCAAGCCTACTTATATATTGTATTACTAGTTACCTCACTAGGGATTTATTTGATAGTTTTACAGAACAGAATAGAATTCAGTATTTTTAGTTCTATATTTAACATCAACTTCAAACCTGATCATACGACTTTGAAACCATGCTGAAAATAGTATTTACACATATTGAATGCTATGGTTAGGATATATAAATAATAAATGCATTTTAATTAATTGAAAGTATATTTTAGATTGGATTCTATGTTGAAATCTCAAGTTTTTGAAAGAAATATATTTTTAAAATCTTTGAAAACAGATGCCTTGGTAAATAATACCAAAATATACACTTCTGAGAACACTTACAGTTAATACTATTTACCTTTTCAGTGTCTAAAACAATGGGATTTAAAGTCATGGCTTTCTATTTGAATGTTTTACCTGAAATATATGTAATTTAACTGTGTGAATTATTTTTTAAATGGGTATAAAAATGAAAATGGGCTATGTATATTTTGTTTCATGATCATTTAGATATTATACTTCCCAAACTAAACTAGAAACTTGACAGTAACATCTCAGATTTTAAGGTTTGCTGCTTATCCACTCTATCTTTAATCTGTAAAATACATGTTAACTTTACTAAAGACACTGTGAAAGAGTTAGTGTTAGGGGATCTCTGAGCATTTCCCATTGTGGTGACAGAAATTGTCTAAGTCCCAGAGAATGTTAAAATCGCAAGTTCCATTCTCGGGCCAATGTGAGTCATTGTCTAATTTATATTGTGGCCAGGCAGTATTAAAATAAAAGATAAGGCGCTTTGTCAGGTTCTCTGTGGAAAAGCCAAGTGTGTTAAGATGATGGAGGATCCTGGGCAAGTCCAGAAGGGAAAGTTACGGGTCTTAGCAAATGGAATGTGGTTAAAGTGAAAGGGATTATCGGTTGCGAAATGATCTAAAGGTCAGTTTCCCAGGAGAGGGTATCGATTCGATTGTTTGATCAGACCTAACAGTACCACTCATAAAAAATAAATAATAGTCAGGGTAACTTACTATATGCAAGGCATTGATAAACTACATAATCTGACCATAGAGCATTGGTTAGAGGCCTTTTCTTTTTGTAAGCCATGGTATTATATTATTTAGGCATTATAAATACAGACCTCAGTTCCTCTATTTCTCTCTGCAGAACAGCTGAATGGTAACTTCTGTCTGTGGATGAAGGTCCAATAAGGATGTGTTGACATTATTAAAGCAGTATGTAAAATTAGGAGATTGATGTCTGCTCAAATCTACTGGCTCAGTTATTGATTGGTTGGTTGTATGACCAATCATAAAGTTATCCCTTAGGAAGCTTGGAGTGGGAAATCTGAAGTTCTTTCAGAAAATGCTAATTACTAAGGGTTTTAAAACTGATATGCTCAGTACATAACCAGAAAATCACCTGGACTAGGTGGCTCCGTAGATTGGAGTGTCATCCTGTACACCAAAAGGTTGTGGATTTGATCCCTGGTTGGGGTGCATACGGGAGGCAGCTAATCAATGTTTCTCTCTTACATAGATGTTTTTCTCTCTCTTTCTCTCCCAACCCTCTTCTCTAAAAAAATCTATAAACATAATCTAGGGTGAGGATTTATTTTTTTAAAAGCATGTGGGGATCATTTTCTTCCTACTGATGAAGAAATGATGTTCTTAAGCACATTTAATTTTCTACTGGCTTCTCTAGACAGGTTGAAGTATTGAATAAGGTAGACCTTTATAGCAAAAACAGTAGAATGATGGTTAGATTTTGAGAATGCAAACATACATCCTTCAGGGAAGTTACTATCTAGTATGAGAAACAAGCACTCAGTGAATTAATTGCATTGCAATGAGGCAAGTAAAGGTATATACCAAGTGTTCTGGAAACATGGCTTGTGAAAAGGGCATAGAGATGTGAAAAAATAAACATGTGCTCAGGCCACATCTAGAAGTGCAGCATTACTGGATTCTGTACCAAGTACAACCTTTGTACTTTTCCTATAGCAGATACATTCTCCCATTCCAAAAGAGGATTAGTGAATACATAAGACCAGTCAAGATATGAAAGGGGATAAACACTCATGGCAGTCTACCTGGATAAAGGCCTAAAGTATGCTTATGGCCAATAGATCATAGAGGCATTTGTGATTAGTAAGGTTACTTGCGAGTCTCTCCAAAGGCATGGGCAGTACTTTGACTTTGTGGGGTGTTTTCCTTTAGGATTCCTGAATCTCCTTTCCCCTTTGCTAACCACCAACTCTAGTCTTTGTTCTTTGTATACTAGCTGTTTTTCATCTGTATCAGATTTAAGATATAACTGTTAAGGAAATTTTGAAGCACTGAGTAGGGATTGTAGGCAGTTGTGTTTTTTTCCTTAGTAATTTGTGAAAATTGAAACATTTGCAATATATTTGTTAGCATCCTTTACAGACTCGGTGTCACTCTGTTAGAAGTGCAGAACTTACCAGGTGAGGATTTGTAGCCACTATCCTTTGTCATTTCAGTGTTTAGTCTTGGCCACATAAATCTATGATAACTAATATCCTCTTCTTACAAATAAAGAAATTCAGACTTAGAGATGCTCAGGAAGTTGCCCAAGATCACACGTAGAGCCAGTGACAACCTAACAATGTCAAAGACCATTTTCTTTTTATTTGAATGCTAATAATGTATTATGTATCTTGTTTTACTCATAAAATATCATGTTTAGTATATTGAATTTAAAACATAGTTTATTCTTTCAATTATGTTTTTGTTGGTCAAATTTATTTTTAATTGGTTTTGTTGTTTAAGGACCTATCACCAAGGGTTGATGTAGAAAAAGCACAGACTTCCAGATAAGCAGATGATGGATTTTATCTGGCCTCAGCTGCTTTTTATTTTATAACCTTGAAGACATTGCTTTCAAATTATCTGAATACCAAGTTTCTATTTGTAAAAGGAGAAATTAATGCCCATTTCAAATGGTAGTTTGAGGGCATTATGTGCTAGGTGTAGAATAGACACTCAGTAACTGTTCTTTATTTTTGCTAGTTCCTACCATACAGTCTGAAATTTAAAGAAACTTTAGCATTTCATATTTACAAAATTTTGTTGAAAAGCAAGGAAAA